GTGATAGATACCTGATACAATTATGTCAAAAAAACATTCATGCAGGTTTGAAATGACTATGGGCTGCAGTGTAGACCCTCTGCTTTAGATAAATGGGTCTAAGCAATCTCCAGATGTCCCCTGGCTCCAGCATACTGCAGTAGCAGCAGAATGATTTGCCTGTGTATGAGGCGTTAGCACAGAGAGAGCCAGACCAAAGGGGCCATGTCGATAGAAACAAGTGACAGGTTGGTAACAAACCATGTGGATTGATGCCTGCGGACCAGGCAGCTTATAGGACATTTCAGCGTCTGTCAGCATAGACAGATGAAATTGTGGTGTTATATAAGCTTCCCTGGAATTTATATGCAAACCTGAGAGGAAGTGGGGGTGCAGACCCCAGCTTCACTGAGGCTAAGTTTTTATTATTCCTGCAGGATACAGACTCAAAATCCAAAAGTGAATTCAAGAAAAATATTTCTTTCACCTGAGTTTATGAGTACATTGGGTCTTGAATCTCTACTGATCTTGGAGGTTAGTCTTCAGTGGTTAGGAAAAAAAAATGAATGGGAGTCAATAAAAGACAAAGGAAAAAGCTTTACTGCTTTATTTTTCCATAAACTTCCTAGCTCTTTGCACTGAATCAGCTTTGAAGACAGATTTAAGAGATGTTTCAGTTCTTAAGGTGTGAGAGATTTCCCAAAGAGTGAGAAAGTGGTAGCAGATCCCTGACCGGATAAAAATTACTTTGAGGGGCTTGAAAATATTTAAAATTGAATAAACCTATTGCCAAACTTTGGGGGGTTTTCTCCTAAGTGGGTTAACTTTATTTCCTGTTTTTATAACAATAATTCAATAAAACAAATATTTGCTTTGTAACTACTGTGCAGGCACTGTGCTATATACACACAGGAAATACAAGAATAAACAAAACAGGAACAGATAGTTCTGACTGTACATCTGATGGTTTTCTATTTTAATTAATGTAATCATGCACTCATCTATTTTACAATTACTGAGGACCTCCTATGTGCCAGACTCTGTGAGATGTGGGGGATACAAAAATGACTGAGATTCAGTCCTGTTCCCTAGCAGGGCAGTGTACCGAGAAGACTGACCCACAATCGGGCTGCTACAACAGAGTGCCATTCATGCTAGGACAGGGAAGAGCCGAGGGTGCTACGGGAGGGGTTGGGGGCACTCAGCCCTGCCCAGCAGGGCACAGAAGGCTTCCCAAAGGAGATGATGCCTGAGCCAAGTCACATAGAATGAAAGTTGGATAGGGCATTGAGCAGAGGGAACAGCGTGTGCAAAGTCAGAGAAGTGGAAGTGCAGGGCATTCAAAGAACTGTGTTTAGGGCAGCGTGACTGAAACAGCAGAGTGGACGCGTCTAGCGAGGAAGGCTTCTGGGAGAGGGAGAGAGTGGGCAGATATTTGACGCAGGGGAATAGGGGAAACTTCTGGGCAGGGTGTGCCTTCTAGCACTCAAAAAGACACCCAGTGGAAGGAGCAGGTTGTGTGTTGGGGTAAGGCAAACACATACTGGACTGGAAGAGTCGCAATATGGAAATGCTGAACAAGAACAAAGATGCTAAAAACCAGACAAAGGAGGATGGATTCAGTGAACCAAAACTGGGAACATGTGAGGTGGAGAATTTGAAGAGGACCAGGAATTGGAGACCAGGTATCTCCTTCATATCATATTTCTGTTTTTTTTTTTTTTTTTAAAGACTGGCACCTGAGCTAACAACTGTTGTCAATCTTTTTTTTTCCTGCTTTTTCTCCCCCAAAACCCCCCAGCACATAGTTGTATATGTTTTAGTTGTGGGTCCTTCTGATTGTGGCATGTGGAACACCGCCTTACCATGGCCTGACGAGCGGTGCCATGTCTGCACCCAGGATCTGAACCAGTGAAACCCTGGGCTGTCGAAGCGGAGCGTGCGAACTTAACCACTTGGCTACGGGGCCGGCCCCCTCATATTTCTATTGTATAACTAGAAAGATGTTCCTTTTCTGTAGTGGGAAACGGGCGATTGTGAAAGTCGAGGTGGGAAATAAGAACTAGCAATGAGCTGCATCCACAAGCAGATCAATTTTAACATACATGCGAACTGATGATCTGGAAAGTGATTCCCTTAAAACTATCTGTGCCCATGAACCTCTTAGAGGGGATATTTGTACCCATCCCAGTCGGAAGACCACTGATCCACACCAAGATGGTGGAAAACATTACATCCAGGAAGCTGGGTATTGTTACAGGTAATGTGAAGGAGAGTGTGACAGGCTTATGGAGCAATCACTCCAGAACCGAGACAGAGGATGGAGGATGCCAGGACAGATGGCTTCAAGACAAAGATGGAACTGATAGATTACCTGATATACTTGATGGTACTGAGCAAGATTTTACATCCTTGTTGAGTTTAGGGGTTTCAGTCTTCACAATTACCTGTTGAAGACCTTGGTAAAGCTTAGTGGTTAGCCAGCTGAGAAAACAAACATGGTACAAGAGACGGGCTGTGAATAAGATGGTAAGGCATTTTATTAGATCAGAAATAGATATACCTGGAGGGTAAAAAATTGGTAGCAAATAAAAATGGTAGCAGTACCATTTCCTGTTTTGCCAATAGAGGGTGTGACAATCAGGTCATGATTACGGTGGCTTGTGTGGCCTTGAGAGGGAGGAGTGGCTCAGTTCATTAAGGTGAGATCATGTGAAGGAAGTCAAAAAACTTGACGAACTCTGCTATAACAGGGCCGTAAGGTACAGAATCTGTAATCCATGTATTCTCTACTTTTTTGATATTAGTCCATTATCTTTCTCAAAGGGTGAATCATGGTCTACCTACATCAGAATCACCTGGTTTGCCTATTAGAAATACAAAATCCTGGGGCCAGCCTGGTCGCATAGTGGTTAAGTTCGTGTGCTCCACTTTGGCGGCCTGGGGTTTGTTGGTTTGGATCCAGGGCTATGGACCTACACACTGCTCATCAAGCCACGCTGTGGTGGCATCCCACATATAAAATAGAGGAAGACTGGCACAGACGTTAGCTCAGGGCCAATCTTCCTCACCAAAACCCCCCCCAAAATCTGTACCTATTGCTATACATAGAATTGGGAGAGAGGGACAGATGAAATCCTGGAATCTGCATCTTAAACAAGTACTTCAGAGGATTTTTATGTACTTTTTTGAGTTGGAAAGCTACTGCTTTAAGTCCTTAAATGGAGGTGCTGATTAATTATAACTGGAAGTCAGATCCCTTTCCTACTCTATGGAGCAGCCCTGGCAGGCTCCAGCTCCAATTCTGCATGAGGCAAATACACTGTGGAATACCTGAGGCTCAGGGTTCTCCCGAGCTAGATTTCCTGGAACCCTTCCTCTCCTATCACAGTGATTTAACTCAGTCTTGCGATTAGGGAGAAGTGAATTTTTCATTTCCTTCTCCTCCTTCCCCCTAAACAGTATGCTCCTTTGAATTTTAACAGATGTTAAATCAATGCAGACATCCTGTTAGACCTTCAAACTTCTTAAAATAGATGCTACCTGTGCTTCAAAAATTTCAATTAAACCCCCCAAAAATAAAGAAATTTCAATTAAGTCAACACTTATTAAATACCCATATGAGGCCCTGCAATAGTGGGGCTACAGCTCCAACTAGGACAGTGATTAGGAGCTCTTCATCCTAGTCTAACAGCTGAGCACAACTGTTCCATGCAGTCCATCTTCAGAATGGATAGAAAAACAGCAGGGTCAAGGCACTTGGATTATATCATGGAGACCTCAAGTTCAGGGCCTTCTGAGAAGCTGAGATTAAGCTGATATGGATCACCCTCCTTGGGAAAGCGACTCTTAGAGCACTAAGGTGGAGAGACCAACCCAAATCCTTCGTTGGATTCCAACTAAGGGTCCTGCCACCTGAGGGACAGATGAGTGGCCATATGCCTTCACATCTGGTTATCTCCACAATGCGTAAGAACATTGGCTAGCCATCTAAATCACAACAGGGAAAAAAAAAAAAAACCTTTCTCCATGGTAGCAATTTGTTCCATCAACAAAGTAAGAAAATTAGAGATGAACATTCTTTAGAAAGTGTTTTCATATTTATACTCATTTATTATCTAAAAGCAATTTTTATGAGCAGGTCTCAGGAAGTCTTAGTAAAAATTAGGCTTCAAAAACATTCTTTTGAAGAACTCTGGCTAATAACATTCATTTTGGCAAACAGCCTTTTGCTGCTACTAACACTTGTAACAAACTTACCCTAGATTATTAAAAATCATTTTTTCTTAGAAAACCATAACTCAGGGAGTCAAGCCCGACAGCAAGAAGGAATGGAGTTCAGTACTACTCATTTTTCAAGGCTGACCCTGAAGCCATCAGTGTTGGGTTACTTTTATTTTATTTTTCAATAAGGAAGAAAATAAAGAAATTGGGATTTATTTTAATTAAGGGAAAGAGGAAGAAAGAGGAGAAAAGGAGAGGGTTTTTGATTTATTTTTTAAAAGAGGAATACACAGCGCTTTGGCTGGTTTGGGTCTTTGTGGATGCATTTGGTTTCTACTTCCTAACTGCACAGCCTCTGTCACAACACACTTGTGCCAAATTCCACATACAGATCCTGATTTGCATAGCTCTCCTTTATGTCAAAAAAGAAATCAAGGCTAAGTCTTGTGGGGGAGGATGCAAAGAAAGACTGGAGAATATTCTAGCTGATGAAAGTGCTTTAGCAATCCTTTTCCAAATTCCCAAGACTGCCTTTCTAAAAGCTCTCTCTAACATTCTTATTTTAATATCTTCTTTCACAATACCTTGATTTCCAAAGTACTTCTGAAATTTAATTAAAATGGAATAGAAAGGGAATTGAATGTTTTTCCCCTAGTTTTAAAATGAGAAGCTGAAACTGTGTATTTATTATTACTATACTTGAATAGGGAGCAAAATGAGGAGTGCAGAGAGCTGTGGCAGAGCTGGAGAGAGAATATGTGTGAAAAGGTGTTACTGAATAAGGGAGCAACTTACAGTTTTTGGAAACCAGGTTTATATATTAAAGAACTGGGGAAGAGAGTTAAACAAGCAAAAACGATGGGTAAAAAAAGTAACAATGAACAATTAATGCCCATACACACACACCGCCCCCCAAAATTCTGGATTATGAAAGCCAAGAATGCTAGTCCATAACTGATGTAAATATGTTGCTCTGGAACTTATTTTTACTTCTCGCCATAAATACACCATTGACACAAAGAATGATATTCTTAGTTTACGGACTATCGTTAAGGGACAAATCACGAGTTGATTTTTTCCTTCAAAAAAAATAAAAACTGAAGAGGCTGTAAATCTCTCTTACTGCCCTTGCGCAAGTCTTAGATTTCAGCCTATTTCCAAACTGAAAACAGTAAGAGAGTGCAGACAGCTGTAACCTAAAGAGTGAAGGATTTAGTGAGCCGTCAGTTTCTTGCAGAATTCTTCTTTTCTGGTACTGCTGTTCTCTATGTATTATTAATCTATTTATATTTAACTCTAGCTATTAGTCTGCCTCTTCCAGCCATGGAGCCATTTGCAAAGGAGAGGAGAGGGAGACAAGGGTGGCTATTATTAGGCATCCTTGTGTGTGATGAGGGTGGAGACAATTAAATAACACCATTTTGCTTCTTTGAAAATGACAGAGATTGTTCGGGGTGGACAACTTAGGGCTGGTTAACATAACCTTTCCCCCCAAGAAAGTAAAACAATAGAGATACATTTCTGAAGTACTTAATTAAGCCTTCAGCAAGGAGTGTGGGAGAATTACAGACCCATAAAATCCCTCCGGTTCTAGGCAAGAGTCAATTTTCTGTGCGGCACTCTGTCACCGCTCATTTACTGCATCATTTTGACAACATCTCATATTTCCACAAGGCTTTTACATAATCTATAAACAGGGACAGAAAGGTGAGGAACAGAGAGAATGGGGACAAAGTTTGGACCGACCCTCCCCCGCCACTGTCACTTCCTTTCAGTTTTTCATGAAAGGGTGAGGCTGAAGGGTGGCATCTTAAGATGATTTCTTCAAAGGCTGAGACATTAATAATCAACACAGCAAGAAGAAAGCCCTGAAAAACTGCCTCTGCTTGCTCAGTCTTCCAAAGGAGGAGTGCAATTCAGTCATAATGAAGGCTCTTTAATGTTCCGCCCCCAAACCTTTTTCGATCAGGAAAGCCCGGAATCTGCAGGCAAGAAAGATAATCACGTTAAGTCTCAAGCAGACAGAGTTCAATTGCTAAAAGTCTTTAAATTTTACCCCCTATTTTTTGTTTCTGTATGTTGGCCTCTTTTTCCTTAAAGAATCACCATTATGAGGTTTTACTCAGAAAACCATGGCAGATTCACTAAGAAAAAGTCTACCAAATGGAAAACATTTGCCAACAAATTGGTGATAGTGTCATCTAAATCAGAGAGGATGAAGATGAATCTCGTAACATTTACCTATTAGACTTTTATATGAATTATCTGCACTGTGGTAGACTCTGAATATACACCTTTAGTCTCAAACAAATAATTTTCTTCTTTTATTTTATAATGTAACTTTACCCCCATCCCCTTTTTTTGTCCCTTAGACCCTTATTTTCCCTTGATCTGATTTTTTCTTTTTTCTTTAACAGGACAGAAGAAAATCAGTTGCTTGTACCTACAAATGACTTCCCCTCACTTTTTTTTTAATCACTTCTGAAAATAAACTTGGAAATCACCTCTCTCTAAATTTAAGAACCCATTTTATCAAGAAAAGATAGATACTGACCTGATTACCATCTCTTAAAAAGTATCTCTTCTCTATGACCTGTGAAAAACAAATAAAGATTTTAAGGGTTTAGCACACATACCTGGAAAAAGTGGTTGACTGCAATGGCCACTAACAGGACTAAAAGGCACATATCCAAATTAAGAGTCTTTTCAATAGCTACAGACGTCTAGTACAATGAGTTAAATCTGGAGCTAATAAGATCAGGATTGTGGGAGTATTTCCATAAAAGCCTGCCTCATTCCAAAAAGCATTAGTGATAGAGTAAAGAAAAAAATGAACAAACAAAAACGACTGAATAATTAGCAAATGACATAAGATCCCATGCAATTCCTAGTGTCTGACAGGAAATTTGCCTCTAAGTTTCCTAGCAGCCAGTCCCAAAAGGTACCAGAGAGAACCCATAAGACAAAAGCAGAGCACTTTTCTACTACAATAGTACAGCTATTCCTAACAGAGAATGCTGTGTAATATAATGAACTGCCACATCCCTCTAGTAAACACAGTGATAAATTCTGTAGGTCCTCAGTGGAGAGAGATGACACATCGACATCAGGCAATTAGCTTCTTTTTATGGACTTAATCTGTACCCTTCATTCAGTAGTTTCAGAAGTGTTATTTGGTCCGTGGGAGAAATAAGGTGAAGCAGTGGATGAATCTGCACAAATCCATCACTACTACTGAAAAGAAACCCTCAAAATATATGGCCTATTATAATGAGTTTAAGAGCACCATATGTTCAGATGATGAAAAACAATTGAAAAAATAATGAATTCTGTTCTAACACTTGAGAAACTGCAATGGTTGCAGAAGCAGTATTATTTTCTTTACTTAGAGCTGTTGTGATTAAGAAAAGTTAATCAAATAAGAATACAGATTAGCTGGAGATTAACTTTAAGACATCGGAATCTAGAATTATGAAGCTAAGAATTCCTCTGAATAAGAGCAGAGTGTCCTCCAGGCCCACGCCAGCTTGCTCTCACTGGCCTGACAGCCAAATCATCCAGATTCTATTTTCGTGACTATGGTTGGATTACTTTTAGCCACAAGAGACTCAGCGTAAGGTGGCATTCGCTGTCCTGAGAGATTAAAATACTCGACCCCACAAAAACCAAGAAGGGAATGATTCTCTTTCCCCTCTCCGGGGCAGGACAGGAAAATCCTATCATGTAGAGTAGGGAGGAATTACTACTGGCCAAATGAGTCTGGAGGAGTTAGATTTCCTCTTGGAAAAGAAATCTTTACACTAAATTCTGGAAGATATGATGTAGAGAAAACTGGGTGAAATACAGCTGTAAAGTGCCTTGGTTTCAGGCAACCACCTCAGTCTGGAGGTCTGGCCAACCTCCTAATCTACATACGTGTTTTTAGGATTTAGGCAATGAAGAGAGAAGCTGCCTTTTTGCTTTTGCTCATAATTCCCTACCCTCAACTTGCAACACCCTTTTCTTACCAAATCTTGCTCTCTTCTTAAAACCAACCAAGTTCCCTCTAATTTTTTTCTTTTTGAGGAAGATTAGCCCTGAGCTAACATCTGCTGCCAATCCTCCTCTTTTTGCTGAGGGAGATTGGCCCTGAGCTAGCATCCATGCCCATCTTCCTCTACTTCATACATGAGATGCCTGCCACAGCACGGCTTGATAAGCAGTGCATAGGTCTGTGCCCAGGATCCGAACTGGTGAACCCCGGACCTCTGAAGCTGAGTGTGCGAACTTAACTGCTGCACCACCAGGCTGGCCCCTGATTTTTTTTAAATAAAGCCTTACCTGAAAACTTGGGTCACACTAGTCTATAAGCCATTGTTTCTCTAAGATATAACTTTACTTTTTAATTTCAAAATTAATAAATTATTTAAAAATTTAAACAACATATTGTGGGATCTTTCCATGTCAGACACAGATCTGTAAGATGTTGCTTTCAGGGGAAAGAATTTTGTATTAGGTGAGGGCCAAGGATCTACACCACATGGAAGTTCTTACATTTTAAGTTTGAAAACAATGTGGAGAGAAAATCTGGTTTCTAGCAATGCTTCCCAACATTTTTCATGACATGGTACTCTTAGAAAATGCTAATATTTGTACAGCACATTTACCCCAGGGTACAGCACTGGGGTAAATGGAAGAGACTGTCGGTCACCCAGCCCAGGGGGCTCTGGTTGCACTAGAACTGAGGGGATCACTATCTCAGCACACCTGTGTCCCTTTGCCATACACCAATCGGGAAGTGGTGCAATGACGCGAAAAATTCCAAGTGACCTAATATTAACCAGGGAGGGGCATGGGGCTTATCTTATGCTGGCACATTGGATAAAGGTCCAAATATTAGACCCCTAATCAGCTAAAAGAAAAATGATTCATAGAAAAGAGCTATGAGAAGAGAAATGATTTTCTTGGGAGATTATAGTTAAAAGGAACTATAATACAGAAATTAATCCTTTTCAATAATGCATAGAGAAATACACCCTATTTTACTTTACTACACAGTGTCAACACTGGGCAAACAACTTAAACTTGGTCAATACTATGTGCAATGCAGCCATGTGGCCTGGTGAAGGAAAGACAAACAGTGCTCTAATTTCCCAGTATGCTGAGTCATTCTGTTTTCATTCCGGTCAGGACAATAAGATGATGCTAGCAGGAGTCAAGAATTGGAATGCAAAGGTTTCTGATGGGGAAAGATTAGGGAATCAAGAAGATGATGTAACCTTAAAAGTAATAGTAATGTTTATGTGGAGAATATTAATAGCTGGGAGAGCAAAAAGAACTCAGGGCTTTAACTAAGCTGAATTTCCTCAGTTCAGTGCCTTTTGAGGGGGCTGGGGGGAGAATAAGTACAAAGAGAGCTAGAAAACAGGAAAACATAAATTGCTCTAAAGAGGAGAATTAAGTATCTTTTAAAAAAACCCATTTAAATCCAGTAGCTTTCATCCTTTGCTTAGAGAACGCTGGTGAGAGAATAAATAGGCCAGCAGGACTTTAGCAACTATACCAACAGACAAGAGACATCAAAACAGGTATTATTCAGGCTGTGAAGTTCAAGACAAAGGAACAAAAGGACAAAGCATTCTACAAAAAATTTAAATTCCTGTAATATATAAATTAAGTTTAAAAATAACAATTGAAGCCATTACCTTATCAAAAAACCTACTTAGCTTGACAGCATTGGAAGAACCCGCAGCTAAGTATCGTGGATTTGTGCAATCCTAGAAGATAAAACATAAAATCCACAATTAAAAGTTAGGAAACATAGCTCTTTGTTAGTTATTACTGTTCCTGTTGCACATTTCTATACTAAAATATTAGGCATGATACTCTCATAAAATATTCATGTAAATTTTCAAATTATGATGCACAAAGCAAAGATAAAAGTGCTAAAGGAAGATAAGGACACTTTTGTTATTTAAGCAATTTTAGAGGATACTGAACATATTCATCATAATTCATAAAGGAAGACAGGATTGTCAATATCTTACTAATAACAAAACCAAGACACCAATCAGGTGACCTACCTACATTTACCCTGAAAAGCAGAAGTAGAACCATTAAAAACAGTAAACACTTCACTGTTTAGTACTAGTTACTGACCAGTACTCAACTAATTAAGTACTGTGCAGTTCACACAAACAGTAGGAAGCATGAATAAAGAGTTAAGAGGAGTAAAGAACAAATAGAATAGTTGCCAGAGATTTCCCACTCATTGACTGCAGGGTACTACATCTCTTGGTAGGTCATAGAAAAAATAATAAACAATAGATACATTTTTTGATAATAAACAATAAGTTTATTATTATTAAATATCATTAAGTATTATTATTTAATAATAATTTGTGTGTGTGTGTGTGTGTGTGTGTGTGTGGTGGAAGATTGGCCCTGAGCTAACATCTGTTGCCAATCTTTCTCTTTTTGCTTGAGGAAGATTTGACCTGAGCTAACATCTGTGCCAATCTTCCTCTATTTTGTATGTGGGACACTGCCACAGCATGGCTTGATGAGTGGTGTGTAGGTCTGTGCCCCAGATCTGAACCTGCAAACCACGGGCTGCCAAAGCAGAGTGTGCGAACTTAACCCCTAGGCCACCACACCAGCCCTAATAATAATTAAATAAACAATAATAAACAATAGATATATTACTATTAAGTAGGATTTTTAAAAATAGAGAAAAAATGGGGCCCAGAAGAGACAAACAATCCGGACTATTAAATCACTGCAATGACTAGTAAAGACCTTAAAAAGTTTACTATCTTTTTCCTGGAATTCCAGTGTCGTGCTGCCTTCGCTTGTCATCATTGACTTGCCACCTCAAGAGAGAAAACAGTCATGAGCTGCATAACGATGTTTCAGTCAATGATGGACCAAATATACGATGGTGATCCCATAGGATTAGTACCATAGAGCCTAGATATAGGTAGGCTATACCATCTAGGTTAGTGTAAGTACACTCTGTGATGTCTGCATAAGGATGAACTTGCCTAACAATGCATTTCTCAGAATGTATCCCTGTTGTTAAACGACATATGATTGTACTTTGATTTTTTTTTTGGTGAGGAAGACTGGCCCTGAGGTTTACCTGTGTCAATCTTCCTCTATTTTTTATATGTGGGATACCGCCACAGCATGGCTTGATGAGCAGTATGTAGGTCTGCACCCAGGATCCAAACCCGTGAACCCCAAACCACCAAAGCAGAGTGCATGAACTTAATGACTGGGCTGGTCCCTGTACTTTGATTTTTACCTCAAATGCCACCTAAGATCAAACTATGAGGATATCATGTAGGGTCCTTTGCAAGAATGATATTTGTCTTCCAGTTGTAGATCATCTGTGTCCCTTGGGAAATTACTGAAATTATTGTTGTTGCATTTATTCTGTTTTGTAATCCCTAAGCCTACACAATTCCTTCCCAATGGATTTTGTAACGATCACCTATTTTGTCCATATACAACATTTCAAGGTTCACATTTTAAAATTTGGCTGGAAACTATATAATACATTTTCCAAAACCACAAAAAAGAGATTACAACAAACTTTTCAGAGATCACAGAGTACTAGAAAAATTAGAGGTCTTTGAAGCCAGCAAGCTCTGAATCAAATATCCGTCCCAACATTTCTAGATTGTGTGACATTGGTTAGGTTACTAAATCTTTAAAGTAGAGCTTGCTCACTTGTGAAATGGGGTAACATCACTTATACTGTAGGATTTTTGTAAAAATTAAATGAGACAACGCATGTCTGGCACATAGAAGGTACTGAAATATTAGTTCCCTTCTCTCTTCCTTCCAAGAAAATGCTATCAAATTGAATTTTCAGACACAAAAGCAGCTAACATAATAAAAGATAATTCTATATATGGATTAAACAAACTGAACTGTCATCGTGCAAACTGTTGTATTTGAAATAATGTTTGAACACATTTAAACAGCAGTTGGGGCACGTAAGAGACAAACTGTAGATAGAACTGTGTTAGATATGTTTTACAAAATGGATATTGATTACATAGTCATCAGAACGTCAAAAGACTTCTGAGGTGATTCCAAATAGAGCCAAAGTACTAAATACAAAAACTAAATCAAGCAGCAAACAAACAAAATCTCCCAAAAACTTAATTCTAAGGATCCACAATTTCAGGTTGATCGGGCTAGAGAAACCCAATGATTTAGGATGAGAATTTTAAATTGAAAGAGCCATCTGCTTTTGATCATGGCTGAAGGCAAAGCCTGAAAACTAATAGCTCTAAATAGCTTGTCCAAGCTTCAGAAAGGAATACTAACTAAGGAAGATGTTTCAGTATGATCACTTTGAAGTAAACACAGAAAAATTTGTACTCGATGAAATAAACCTACCAGGATTTTAAAAAATAAGTAATCTTCTTCCTGTTTATAATGTAAGCAATTTGCCTTTTTTCAGGCACAAGATAACTGATTCCATCTTTGATGGATACACTTACGTTATATTCTTCCTTTTCTATAGTTTTAAGTAAATTCATACAGTAACCAAAGATGCTAGCGCTAATATTGTTACATTAGTTTATTTGAGGGTTCATATTTACTTGCTGAGTCTTTTTGATTGCTATCTCTTTTTGATACTGTTACCCCATTCTCCTCTCCTTTTTCCTTCCCTGCATACTCAAGACCTTCTTGTGGTTTCTGCTGTGTTCTTGAAGCCATACACTGATAACAGACAAAAGTATGTTGCATGTGAACTCTGTGGAGACTGTGTTTGCCACAGTACCACCACTTGAGTACCTTTAGATCTTGTTAACAATTAAAAGACAGCCTTGCCTTTCCAAGTAGGTGATTGTCACTGAAACCCACAGGTACTAGAAAGAGAGACATTCCAAAATACATTAAAAGTAATTACTGGAACAAATTAAGTGTATTTGATGGTAAATTTCCCTTTGGAAATAATGTTCAAAGGAAGTAACCTCAGCACTTCTTCAATAAGGACATTGTATCTTCTAAGCAGCAGGAATCCTCTGGAATATCACAGTCCAGTGCTGACTACCTGGGGGATATATGCTGAATATTCCATGGTGGCAGCTAAGAAAAATAAAGCACCTCCACTGCAAAGTAGAAGGTGAAAAACAATGGCATGGCAGACAGAAGCTGACTCATTTATTGGGGCAGAGGTGGGGTTGAACCAAGCAGTGTTCACAAATGTTGACTCACAGAATAAGGGCATCAGAATCACCTGAGTCATTTGTTAAAATTACAGAGTCCTGGTCCTTCTGCCAGACCTTATGAATAAACTGTGGGGCAGTTACTTAAAATTTTTCTCAGATGCTGTTGGTAATACGAATATGCAGTCAGGTTTGGGTAATTGTTAATCTAGATAATTTTTAAGAGTTCTTTCAGCTCCAAGATTCTAAATGTTAGTTGAAGGATAATTAAGTGGAAAATAGGCTTAACTGTAGAGCACAGGCTCCGAAGTCTGAGTGCCTGGTTTGACCTGTGTAACCTTGGCCTAGTTATCTCTCTCAGCTCCTAGTCTTCATCTTTAAAACTGGGGATAATAACAGTACCTGCCTTAGACAGATGATGTGAAGATGATGAATGTGAGATAATGTACATAAAGCTCTAGAACAATGCTCAGCACAGACGTGCTCAATAAATGGTACCCATTGGCATTATTATACTACCACGCCCACCCCACGTCTGAATGCCAGCACATGAATATGCTGCAGAAATCCTACTTGTGAACAATGACATATAAACCATGACTGAAGCTGCTGCCCAGAATCCTTCTCTGGGCAACACTAACTGGTTTATCTGAGGGCTTATCTTAGCCTTTTTAGTGCCAGGTTCTAATTGAGCTAAATACCTCAGGAAAAGACTCAATCCTCTGTATACATTATACATATAAGTTTATATAAACTAATGCTTATGAAGCACTCCTGGTTTACAGGTTGTAATTTTCTCATTTATTTGTTAGCCCTTTTTAAGGTAAACTCTGTAGTTTAGAAGCTAAGAGGCTTTTCTGAAGCACAAATAGTCAAGGAACAGCATCACTGACATTCTTTGTCATCTTAATTCAATTATTTTTATACTAATTAAATTATTTTGACTTTGGTGAGATATTTAAAAATCTTTTCAAGAAAAAGCCCATGATTTACATTATTCATAGAACAAAGTTGGAACATTCCAACAGATCAGCATACAAGGAGGCTGAAGTGACTGTGCACATCTGACAGTCTTTGTTGATCCCAATCTTTACTACATTTTGGACTAGAACCCTAAAAGCCTGATTTCAGGTATAAAGCTTCTTTTGCAAGAATATGTGACTTATGAAGTCTTTGGTTTTGCCTTCACCTGATAATAATACAAACATGCTTTAGTGAAAATACACACCAAATTAATCTCTTCCGCATTGAAATCTTCAGCCAGGAAAGCAGTCCTAGTTAAGACTTCATGGCGCTTGGTTTCATGAATCTGATCCAGTTTAGTCCCTATCACCAATAGCGGGATTTGGTTATCAGCAAACTGTTCCCGGTCATAATCCCTGTGATAAACAATAATGAAGAGGTGAAGAGAATTTACCTTTCTGATGTGGATGTGTAATATTTAAATGCAACTAGCTTATCCTACTTTACTGATAATTCACTGACTCTTACCTATCACCAATAAACCCATTTTTCTCCCAATTTCTTCCACCTACTTGTTTACTTAACAATTCATCACCATCTATCGAGTTCCAACTATTCATCTAACTACTCAAAATTTGTTCCCATGAATCTTTATAGATTACTTGAATAACTAAGTGCCCACCAGGTAGACCAAAGTAGGTTGACTTGACTTCTCCCAACAGCTCAGGAATTTTTCTGTGTAGATGCAGAGACTGGATTCAAACCTCAGTGGAAAGAAAACTCAGGAACCTTGCACAGCACTCAAGCCTTGTGCCAGAGGGGAAAATGGCAAGCTTCTAGGTACCTTCTTGGATATACATAAGCTCTACATCTACCATACATATTTTTGTCTATGAATAATAAAATAAATAGATCATTTTAGGGAAATAAGAAATAGGAATGCTGAAGGCCAGAATAAGTCAACCACAGGAGATGCTATATAGCCTGGGGAAAGATGGATTCAACAAATGGAAAGGGAAGGAGATAGCTGAAATGCAAAATGAATAGGAAAAGAAAATAATTAAGTACCAAATACCTAATACTTGTTTGTTCTGACACAAGAGCTGTGGGAGGCAGAGGACAGGCAATACAAATCATTTAGGGTTAGTGGCCTTGGGTCACTGGCTATTAGAATCCCTTTTTTCTATTCTTACCCAAAGGACAGAGTGGTGTTCTTTCTATTACCGAAAGGAACACAGAGCCCAATGTTGTTGAATTAATTTAAATTCTGTTCACATATGAGAAATAAAACAGATTTGAATTTCTGACATGTTATAGGCTTAATTTACAAAAGTCAGCAAAACTTGGCTGCGAACACCTTATGACAGTAAATCAATATTGCATAATCCAATCAATACAACTCAGTTGAGCATAGCTTTTTTCTTCCTTTAATATTGTTTTTCTTTTTCTTTGAATAATCTAAATTGTGGGGGCATGAAAAATTATCAAATTCTTTTGCCCTTCATAATAATCTTACAGAGCTTCAGTTACTGTTCAGCCTTGGAACACAATTGTTTTGAACTATGTAACCTCCCATTTCATAAAAATATTATTTTATTTATGCATCAAAGCCAATAATAACTGGAGTTCAAGGCTTTTGATTCTCCTTACCAACATCAACCCTGACTTAGGAGACATGGTCCAAAACTGCAATTTGCTTTCTTAGAGAATGAAGTATTGAGTGTCTTCCTTTTGCATTATTTCCTTTTCCTATACTCACTAACTCTGGCTCAGATACAAATTTTTATATATATTTTATTAAACATCATCTTTGATACACATATATCTCTGTCACTTGTAGTCTTGTATAATTTCTTGTACATGTATTAACATATATATGGTACTATATATGTAACTTAAAATATATATGTTGCCATATATATATAATTTGTTCTCTTGTTTCTCTTTTCAGCTTTCCTTTTTTCTCACTTTCTTTCATTAAATCTTACATCCAATTTGAAGTCAGATCTTGAGATTCCTTTTTTTTTAACCGTTAGGTGAAAAACTAGTGGGGAATTTTATCGTGGATAGATAAGGCTGATAATACCTTAACACCACAAAGAGACAGACAAGCAGGTATTGTAATATATGCAAAATACCACTATGGAAAAACAAAAAACTTGCATCTTTCAGGCCACTATATTTAATACCATTTTAGAGAAGATTTAGCATTCAGAGAAACAAATTTAACAGACATTATAGGGATATGGTCAGCAAAACCCAGGACACAGAAAACTCTCCAGGACAAACAAGCCATCTTCTTTCACAAACAAACTGCTAAAGGGTTAAAAAAAAAAAAAAAAAAAAAGGAAGGGGAACTTAAGATCAAAGACACTTAAGAAACCAAACACAATGAGTGGATTTTATTGAGATACTGTTTTGAACAAACCACCATTTATGAGACATTTGGGGAAATTAAAATAATATGTGATATTAAATAATTACTGTTAAATTTTAAGTGTGACAATTATATTTTGGTTATGTTCAAAAGGTCTTATCTTTTAAAGTTACACATTGAAGTATACATAGATGAAATGATATGATGTCTAGGATTTGCTTCAAAAAATAAATGAAGAGACATACTGTGTTTATGGATTGGAAGATGCAACAAAAATTCTCCCCAATTTGATCTATAGGTTTTAATGCAATTCCAATAAAAATCCAAGTAGAATTTTTGTCAATATAGACACGCTGATTTCAATTTTATATGGAAAAGCAAATGAGCTGGAATAGCTAAACAATTTTGAAAAGTAATAATGTGGACGGAATCACACTGCCTAATTTTAAGACTTACTCTAATGCTACAATAATCAAAACAGTGTAGTATTGGTGAAGGGATAAAAACAGATGAATGGGACAGAATTAAGGAATCTAGAAATAGACCCATATAAATATGGTTAACTGATTATTGGTAAAGGAGTAAAAGCAATTCGATGGAGAAAGGATAATCTTGTCAACAAATGGTGTTGGAACAACTGAACATTCACATGCAAAAGTTAACCTCAACCAAAACCTCACACATTATAACTAATTCAAAAAGGATCACAGATCTAAAAGTAAACCTAAAACTATACAACTTCTAGAAGAACATAGGAGAAAACCTGCATGATCTGGGATTAGGCAAAAAGTTCTTAGACATGATTCCAAAAGCACAATACCTAAAAGAAAAAATTGAGAAAACAGACTTTATCAAAATGAAAAATTATTGCATTGTGAAAGACACCGTTAAGAAAATAAAATGACAATCTACAGATTGGGAGAAAATATTTGCAAATCAAACATCTTACAAAGTGTTATTTTGGGTACGTTCCTATGATTGCTGTAACATTTCAAGCCAATTGTGAAGTAATCTGGGCTTACCCATTTGTTACCAAGACTCCAGTTGGCACCAGATCCCTGTTGAGAGCTTCCAATGACCAACGATACAAGTTTTGGGATGACTTCTTATTTGTTAAGTCGTGTACTAAAATAATACCTAAAATAACCAGAGAAAATAATGCTGATACTGTAACAATTCCTCTTCGTTTTACAAATGGCAAAGTGAGGCATAGTAAATTCAAGCATTAGGTTGCTTAATGAATCTAGCATTTTAGTATGACTAACAAACTCAGAGACAATTATTTTAAAATTTCCTCTACAAATTCTCACAAATGATTACCTACAAAATTTTCTTTGTCATTATGTAACTTTTTGTAATTCTACAAGGGCTGACAAAATGTCATCAAATTTTTAGAATGTCTTTTCTTTGTTTCTTCATTCAACACTTACCGAGTGCCTTCTTTGCCTGGTCCTAATTGCAAAACTACCTCATCAATAAAAATAAGCAAAACCACATCAAGTATATAGGGAATTATATTCATTCAAAAATTTAACTGTTTCTGCACTGTGCATAGTACTGTTGTAGACAGTACTTATGTGCTACATATTGTGCTTTATGTGTGTTATCTAATTTGATTTTTAGAACAGTCCTATGAGGTAAGAACTATTTTACCTCATTTTACACATGTGAAAACTGAGGCTCAGAAAGGTTGGGTAACTTCCCCTGGACACAGAGTGGTCACTCCATGAATTGCAATTATATCCTCTATTACATACGTCCATCTAGAAGTCTGTTCCAGGTATCTGAATTTCTACAACTGGATGAAATTTCTGCACCCTAAAAACACCCTTAGGTAGCTCTTTATTACATAAGACTGTCTCCCAGGAGCAGATGAAAGAAATCTCTATCTCTGTGACATCTGGCTTAGACTATGGGACTCCTAATGGTCCTATCATACATACTCAACTGACTGGAGAACAGAACTCCCAGAGAACAGTGTTTTGAAAGTTCCATGTTTTATGTCAAGTACCCAAAGTACAATTTCATTTCTCAATATTTAGTTTATGACAATAATATAAACAGAAACACTTAGACAAAGCAAATATGTAATGTTCTGAATTACATTGTTAGAACCTGGAAACACAAACTGGAATGTGATATGTAGATTTAAATTAAGAGTTGTGAGTAACTAGATCTTTCTTAAATTAAGATGAGTCCAGCATCCCATAGAATTTCTTAACAGATGATCTATACTCCTAGACCATTAATAAATGGTAGAAATAAAAAATGCTTTACCATTTACAGAGTTGTAGAATACTGCTCTTGTGCTTTTCACACTGCTGGCACTGCCCACAGAGCCTCCAACATCCCATAATTCTATATAGTAGGTCTTCTCTTCTGGTGTTCCTTCTTTGTAGTCATGAACCTAACAAATCAATCCATCAAAATAATTATTATGGCCACTAAGAAAACTGATAAGCACCCTCATTCCAGTTTAAAGCAGTGGACATTCCATATGGGCATCTCACCCTCTGATTCTCTGCTCACCACCTCCTATCTTTTAAGCTTCCTTCCTCTAATATTCCAACTCTATTAATAGTCTTTGACCCCACAGTACCCTATAGTTAATTGATCTTAACACCTTTCACAGCTTTCCCTTCCACTTGCAAATCCTCACTTCCTTCCTAACTAAGCACAAATTCCATGACTATCTTAGTGATGAATCATACTGTATTCACCTGGAAAAATTCCAACCCAATTACAGTCAGGTGCCACTTAATGAAATGGACATGTTCTGAGAAATGCATTGTTAGCTGACTGTGTCTTTGTGCGAACATCGTAGAGTGTACTTAAACAAACCTAGATGCTATAGCCTACTACACACCTAGGCTATAAGGTACTAATCTTATGGGACCACCATTGTACACGTGTTACACAATGAATGGCTGTATATTCACCTTTTCCCTCATTCCATGTCTACAAGCCAGCTAGCTGAATGTGAAGCTCAGAAAAATACAGATTCAAGCTGACTGGATTCACTTTAAATTCAAGTGCACCTTTGGAGCTTCCCTTTAATCAGTTCCATAGTCCATTTCCTCTTTAGATAACTCATACTTTCTCCTCTTTTTCACATTTCCAATATGTCTTCCCTATACTCAAGCACAGCTAATAACCTTGCTTCCTGAGACAGAAGCAATCAGAAGAGAACTTCTACAATCTGTTCTTCCCTATCTATCTGAAGCATCTGTGCCCATATAATCTGCTTTCGCTCCAGCTATTATAGATAGGCTGTCTGTGCCCCTGAGGCCAAATCACCCTCTTGTGCATGAGATCCCATCTCCTCTTTCTTATCAAAGATGTAGCTCCACCAATTCTCCCCTCTCTCCCTTTCATCATCAAATTTTCCCTCTCTGTTGGATAATTCCCATCAGCATACAACCATGCCATACTTTTTCCTATCTTAAAAAAAAAAACCTTCTCTTCACCACCTTCTCCAGCTATAATGCCACTTCTCCATTCCTTTTTATAGCAAAGCCTTCCAAAGAGTTGTCTATTTTCAACTGTCTCTAATTCTTTCCCTTACATTCTCTTCTGAACTCATGCTTTTCACACTTCTGCCCCAATTACCTCACTGAACTATTCCTTATCAAGGTCACCAATGGCCTCCACATTGCTAAATCCAATGATCAATGAAAAGTTTGCATCAGTTACTCTACTATTTGTCACAACTAATCACTATCTGCCTTGCAAGACTTTCTTCACTTAGCTTCCAGGATATCACACTCTTCTGGTTTTCTTCCCACCTCTCTGGCTAATCCTTTTTAGTCTCCATTTGGGTTGTCCTTATCTTTCTGATCTTGTATTGTTCGAGTGTCCTAAGGTTTAATTCTTGGATCTCTTTTCCTCTCCGTCAACACTTGCTCTCTTGGCAATTTCATCTAATCTTATGATTTTAAATTCATCATTATGTTGATGAATTCCAAATTTACATCTATCCTGGACCAGCCCCTTGAACTTCAGACTACCATATCCACCAGACTACAATTTGGATGTCTAATAGGCACCTCAAAATTAACATCTAAAAAAAAATTTCCTTATCTTCCTCCCAAATCTATTCTTCTCCCAGTTTTCTCTTTCTCAGTAAAAGGCAATTCCGTCCTTCCAGTTACTTGAAGGGCCAAAAACTTAAGACTGATCATTAACTCCTTTCACACTGCATATCTGATCTGTCAACAAATCCTGTTGCTTTTGCCTTAAATATTTATCCAAAATCTGTTCATTTCTCACCATCTTCTTTATTACCACCCAGGTCAAAGTCTCTGTCCACCTCTTTGCCTGAATTAATATAATCATCTCCTAGCTGATTTCTCTACTAGAGCATTGCCCTGCTCATGTGGTCCACCCCCAACATTGGTTTTCTATATAGTAGCTAGAGTGATCCTTTAAAAATCAATGCTAAGTTAGATCATACCAACCTTCTGCTCAAAACCCTCTAATTACTTTCTTACTCAGAGTAAACTTCCTTTCTCAGGTCTGGACTCTATAGGCATTTATTGCCTGTACTATATAACTATTCAGACACAAATTGAGATACTGGGCAACCTTATCTATTAGAATAAAGCTAAGAGCCAGGTTATAGTATGGTGGTTTAGGGGTGTACATCAGAATCTTCTAAGAATTTTTTTTTATTTTTAAAAATATACAAGCTAACAAAAGAAAAAACAAACATGTGGGACTACATCAAATGAAAGACCTTCTACACAGCAAAGGAAACCAGCAACAAAGTGAAAAGGCAACCTATGGCATGGGAGAAAACATTTGCAAATCATACTTTTTATTAGAGGTTAATATCCAAAACATATAAAGAACTCACACAACTCAACAGTAAGAAACCCAAAAAATCTGATTAAAAAATGGGCAGAGGAACTGAATAGACATTTTTCTAAAGAAGACACAGATGGCCCACAGGTACATGAAAAGGTGCTCAATATCACTAATTATCAGGGAAATGCAAATCAAAACCAGAATGAGAAATCACCTCACACCTGTTAGAACAGCTATCATCAAAAAGATAAGAGAAAACAGTATTGGCAAGGATGTGAAGAAAAGGGAACTCTTGTGCACTGTCAGTGGGAATGTAAATTGTTGTAGGCACTATTGAAACCAGTATGGAGGTTCCTAAAAAATTAAAAACATAACTACCATATGATCCAGCAATTCCACTTCTGTGTATACATTCAAAGGAAATGAAAACAGGATTTCAAAGAGATATCTGCATTCCCATGTTCATTGCAGCGTTATTCATAATAGCCAAGATTTGGAAACAACCTAAGCATCCATCAATGGATGAATGGATAAAGATGTGGTAAATATACACAATGGGATATTATTCAGCCATGAGAAAGAAGGAAATCCTGTCATCTGTGACAACATGGATGGAACTTGAGAGAATTATGCTAAGTGGAAACGATCCAGACAGAGAAAGACAAATACTGCACGGTATGGATTATATGTGGAATCTAAATAAAAGGTCAAACTCATTGAAACAGAGTAGAAAAGTGGCTGCCCGGGGCTGGGAGGTAGGGGAAATAGGGAAAGGTTGGTAAAGGGGTACAAACTTTCAGGTATAAAATGAATAATGTCCGAGGATCTGATGTATAACATGGTAACTACAGTTGATAATACCATATTGTATAATTGAAATATGCTAAAAAACTAGAACTTAAATGTTCTAATCCAAAAAAAAAAAAAAAAAAAGAAAAAGATATGGGCCCAGCCCCTCAGCTGAGTGGTTAAGTTCTGTGTGCTCCACTTTGGTGGCCTGGGTTCATGGGTTTGGATCCCAGGCGCGGACCTACTCCACTCACAGGCTATGCTGTGGAGGTGTCCCACATATGAGCAAATAGAGGGGGACTGGCACAGATGTTAGCTGAGGGCTAATCTTCCTCAAGCGAAAACAGAGGAGGATTGGCAGTGGATGTTAGCTCAGGGAGAATCTTCCTCAGCTAAAAAAAAAAAAGATAAACCAAGCAGTGACGGATGTGTTAATTAACTGGATGGGAAGAATCATTTCACAATGTATACATGTATCAACTCATCACAATGTACACTTTAAATATCTTCTAATTTTATTTGTCAATTATACCCTCAATAAAGCTGGAAAAAAGTCCTCAAAAAAAGAGAAATATCCATGGCAGACTTACTGAATCAGGACCTTTGGGGTTCAGTCCTAGGCATGCTTACTTTGAACAATTCTCCAAATGATCTTGCTGTAACCTCTAGCGAGAACTGCTGATTTTATAGAATGGAACTATTCTGGTATCAGGAGGCCTAGATTATATTCCCTGATTGCCACTGATTATTCCCAATATCTTTGGGCCTCAGTCTGTCTATAAAATGAAGGAATTGTATTATGTGTATTATGTGGCTCTGAAATGATAAAAAGCAAGATATCTCAGTAGTTAAAACAGATGTCATAAAATGCAGTAAAACTCACATACTGTATTTAACAGAATGCTTTACACTTTTTACTTATTCCCATTTTTTTTGTCCAAATCGTTCTAAGGAAAAGTTTAAGTAAATAAGATACTCTACAGACAGCCAAATAGACATTAAGAGAAGACAATTATCAACTGACTGAATAGCACAGAAAAATGAGAATAGCAAAGTCATAGCAGTTGGGGACCATTTTGGATAACGGAAATTAATCCTGTTTACTGTGATAAAAGCTATCACTATTTTTCTATATGGCATAAATTACTGATAATATGTGATCATGCTAAGGCATCAATAAAAAGGTTAAATTACATGAGTTCTGTTTAAGAAAGCAGGAAAATGTATATTTTAACAAGATTTCTAAGCAAAACCACTGAAAAAAAACAATACAAGGTGTTATAAGAAGTCAGTTACCTGTCATCAAAAAGCTCAGCCACGTTAGCGAAGCTTTCTTGATCCTGCTCCCCTCCCCCTGTGCCCCAAAACCAACCAGGGCAGGTTAGGTACTCCTCCTATTTGCTCCCATAACATCCTGTACCCCTCTATCATTTCACTAACCACACTGTCTTATTTATCTGCTGATATCTCTTCTATTAGACTTTGAGCATAAGGACAGGGATCATGTATTATTCATCTTTGTAGGCCTAGAAAACAGCATAATACCCAGCACATATTAGATGCTTGGATATGTTTGTTTAAACCAACAATTAAATTAGGATGTTTCTTCCTCCAAGGTTTTATTACATTCAGTTTATTATTTTACTGAATTCCAGTGCTTCTCAAGTGCAGTTCTGAGAATGAACTAAATTAGAACCATAGGAAGTTTGTTAAAAATACAGATTCTTGGACCACTCCTGAAGCTTCTCGCGTGGGGCTCAAAAATCTTTACTTTTAAAGAAAGCTCCGTAGGTGATTCTGATACATAATTAA